GAACTCAAACCAATATATCGAGAGTTTCAACTAAAACAGGTCGAACGCTCCATATGCCCGTTAATACGATGATTTTATTACATTTTTCCTGAGTTGCTCACGCGTAAAAATAAAATAAACAACAATTTATCTCAAACAAATTTTAAATCATATCCATTTTATATTTCCACATTGAAATTTTATTATATTTCAAAACATAAGTTGCTCTTTTTTCACTTAATTTCTTTTGAATTATATTTCAAGTTCTAGTATTATTTATAAAAACTCTTAATTATTTTAGAATACTCGTAAAAAATAGAAATCGTTGTAAAATATGCTTCTCTCTGATTTAAGACGTGTCATCGCATTTATTTACAAATTAAGAAATCTTATTCTTGCGATGAACTCTTCTTGCTCTTTCTCTCTCTTTTTCTTTCTATTGAATCATTTAAGTACACTGCCGGTCAAAAATCTTTGGACACTATACATATTTATGATATAAAGATAAAAAGGATTAAGACAAACATGAATATTCGATTAAAACCAAAGAAAATATTATATTTATTTATAAAGTATATAAGAAACAAAACAAAACATTATTATTTGAGACCCTTACTCTATTAGAAAAAGTCAAACCTTCTTTTCATCAAAAAAGCCACCTTTAGTCCTTAACACATTTTTTACTACTCTAGGCATCCTGTTGATTAGATTTTGCAAAATAATTGGCTCTAATTGCTTCCAAGAGGCTTTTAATATATTCTAAAGGCTTTCTTGAGAAGTTGGACACTGGTTCCTCACTTTACGATCAAGTTCTTTCCATAGAAGTTCGATTGGGTTTAGATTAGGCGATTGTGGTGGCCATTCCATTAATTTTAGTATATTCTCTTCTTTTTTCTTTATCAAGAAATTCTTGCAAAGCTTTGAAGTGTGTTCAAAGTTTCAGATCATTATGTTGCTGCATAATGAATTCCCAATCGATCAGTTTTTTTCCTGCAGGAACTGCGTAATGAACAAGGATTTTGTGGTATCCTTTCTGATCGAGATTTCCATTAATTGTATACAGAGCACTCACTCCATAATAGGAAAATGCCCCCAAAGCTATTACGGATCTTCCACCATGTTTGACAGTTGGTGTAATGCAGTTGGACATTGTCTTTTCGTTCGCCGAGCGTCGTACGTATATTCTTCTTTTGCTGCCAAATGTCTCAAATTTGGACTCATTCGTCCATAACACTTTTTAAAAATCTTCTACAGTCCAATTCTTGTGTTTCTGCGCCCATTGCAATCTTTTCTTTTTATTTACTGGACGAAGAAGTGATTTCCGTACACAGCAACTCTACCAAAGAGACCAGCTGATCTAAGTCTCCTTTTGATAGTTGCTACAGATATCTGCTTGTCATAGTCTAAGTTGAAATCTGCTTGAATTATAGGAGCAGTTCGCTGTCTATCTCGTTTGGAGAGCAGCACGATGGACTTATCTTCAGCTTTCGTAGTCACCCGTGGCCTTCCACTTCGTGGTCGATCTTTGTTGATTCCAATTTCACAAAAACGCTTGATGGTGTATGCAACAGTGGACCTTCAGTTTTAGACCTGGGGATCTTCAGTTTTAAGACAATGTTACGAATAGAAAGACTATCATTGTTGTAGTATGCATTGATTATGGCCCTCGTTTCTCGATCTATATTTGTTCGCAATCGCGGAGCTATCTCTTATAAAATTCACACAAACATTTTCTTTTTAATTCAATAAAAAATAAAAACTTGTATTAATACTAAAGCACCACATACCTTTATCAAATCCTTGTCTCTCAACTTTCTACAACTGTTTTCACGTTACGATGACACAAAAGAAACATAGCGGAAATATTTGCAAACACACGGACAAAGATACAGCGCCAAGCAGAATGGAAATTGAAATCACTGTTGTCAACTAAATGCTTATTTTTAGAAGATTACAAAGATGGTTTGATTTTTTCCAAGGGTTCGTAAGAGTCAAATGATAATGTTTTGTTTTGTTTCTTATAAATATTTCATAAGAAACAAAACAAAATTTAAAGTATAAATATTTATAAGTATAAATATTTATACTTTATAAATAAATATAATGTTTTCTTTGGTTTAAATCGAATATGTTTGTCTTGAACATATTTTTATCCTTATACCGTAAGTATGCATGATGTCCAAAGATTTTTGACCGGCAGTGTATGTCTTCGAGCAACGCAAATATAAAATATTGTAAAAAAATTTAGAAAATATTTTTCAGATATTTTAATTTTTAATTTTTTAGACTGCATCGACAAAACAGTTAATTTTATATAGTCATAAATTGCAAAATCTAATTGAGTACAGCGTGAAATATATCTGATTTAAAAATATTTTATTTCGTTATATATATATATACATTTTATGTAAGTAAATGACACTCGCTGTACTTAATTAAATCTTCCTTTTAGCTATACTTAATTAAATCTTCTTTCTCAATATTTCGCGCGTATAACGCTCACAGTAGACAAAGATAGACAAGATCCAAACGACGCGTTTAAAAGACATTTTTACAAACTTCTTTGTAACGTCCCTTAGATGTTTGCGCTGCCTGAGTAATAACACTATTTTATACGCGCATCTCCAGCAGCATTTTCTGAAAAATAAATTAGCAGCGAGTATTATATGCTATGCATAACGCGTAGCGCGCGTTATGGCATTAATCCTGCGTGGAAGAAGCCACTTACTCGCAACAAGGCGTGAAATATATCTTCAGGACGCCAGGCTGCAATTTCGCCGGTTAGGGAGAGAGAGAGAGAGAGGGGGGGGAGGGATGCGCGACGCCTATAACAACACGAAAACCGCTTTCTCGTGCCGATCCAAGCGCAGATTCACCCTTGTATCCGCTGAATTACAGCGAGCACAGAATAATGAAGTTCACGTAATACTGTAACGAGCGTGCGACGGGAATAACCGACAGGCATGTAACGACAGAATCACGTAATCGGCCAATTATACGAACGATCTGGACTTGATTACGGCGAAGGTACTGCGGGTGGTTGCGCAACATCTGCCATGACTGCACAATGTGTCGTTCTGACTGATTGATTAAAACCGTAAGATAATTAGCAATTAGCTATATCGTGTCTGCCGACGCGACGCAGCGCCCGGCGCCAAGCGTCGTCGGTCGGCCAGGCCCACTTTCCATAACGAACATGTCAAGAGTTGAAATGTCAGAGGGTGAGGCACGTGCGCACGTCGATAACCCTAATAAAGTCATTACCGCACACTGCCGTCTTCCGTGGATGAAGATACGCGATAAGGGCATGGACCGAAGTTAAGCTCGGCGAGTATGAATACAGCGAGATAAAATCTCGACGTGACATCACCAGTAAACAGAATTGATCGACTTTATGACTTGCTATTAAGTTTCGCATTGACAAGACGTACTTTTTATCAAATAATTATTCTGATCGACGTCGAGTGTCGCTTATACGCGTAAATATCGCTCCCCTACTTTAAAAGTGACACAACTAAAATAATCTAATTTTCGAGTTATTATCATAAATGAATTAAGTAAATATTATCCTATCAATCATCCAAGAATAAACTGTCATAAAAAATATCGTAAAATCACCGCTAGTAAAAAGAAATGTTTTTTAAAGATAAATTCGATACTAAATCTATTGCATGAAATGGTAATAATCTATGAAAGTGATACAACTTAATAAATAAGTTTCTCAGAAAGTCGACTAGAATAATGCAAAATTTGCTAAATTAGCGCATTTAATAAAGCTTTACAGTTATTAAAATCTTATTTGACAGTTTCCATTTTTTAAAACACTCGTGCATTTTAAATATTATCGTCAATTTTTATAAATATAAATTTTATTAAATGTTCAAATATTGGAAATTTGAGAGTTAAATCAACGATCAAATAACAGCTATTTGTTCGCAAAATTTGACATTTGCTTGAAATTCAACATTATAAAATTGCGAATATATTTTCTAGAATTATTATGAATCGTGATTTGAAATTATCATTAATCCATTATTAATCAGAATACGTGAAACGAAAAATTATACAAATAAAATTCATAAAATTATTCATAAATTTCACACTGCATCTCATTAAATATTCAACCTTACGTCCTTTTTTTAAAGTATTTGCAACAGTCAAATATTTGATATAAAAATAATGAATTTTAATAGTATTATTCTTATTTCTGACGCCTTCGTGTATTCTAGCATTAGTAAAAAGATTTCATATGTAATAAGCAATTTCTTTATAATATATATTTTATAATTCTGCATCGCATATATTCTATTTTTTATATAAAATCATTGTAAATTATAAATTATAATAAATAAATTGTAACGTTATATTGTATGTATTGTTTTACGTTCTATGTACTGTTATATATTGCAAATTATTTGACAAGAAGAAATAAATAAATAGAAAAATGCACATATATTAGAGCCCGAATTATCCGACATCGATTATTTAACTTCCGGATTATTAGTCATCAGAATTCTATATAGCAAAATCAAGTAATTTGGGAATTAAATAATAAGATGTCGGATAATCCGGGTTCTACTGTGTTAAAAAAAAAAAGGACCGCCGATTAAAGTCAGCGGAGGTGACAGAAGGCCTTTGCAGGTTGGTTTGTTTTTATCGGATAAAATTTTAGTCGAAACTTGAACTGAAAACTAATGTTTAATCTATAAGTAAGAAAATGCGAAGTCAAATTTAGCCAAAATGTACTTAATCGCAATGATATTCGATGAAAACGGAACTACCTTATATAAAAGAAGTATTGCTCATTTCTATTTCCCAAGCCAGATAAAATTAAATTATTAGATATCAGACGAGTGAAATTGCGCCATTTTATTTATGGTCTATCCTAAAGAAAAAAGTATCCTTTAATATGTCAAAAAAGATAGTTTAAATTTTCTATTTCAATGTTGACAAGTTCAATTTCCGTCAGAATACTCTCTCCGCTCCGACGCAATGTTATCTTTGCCAATGTAATCTCACCTCTACTTTATGATGCATCTGATCTCCTCGTTCTCCCAGCGATGAAAGGGATCTCCGGAGAATATTCCAAGCGCCAAACCCATCGAATATGATGCTCCGGTGGAAGAACCCTGTAACAAATTGAAAACAAGAGTATCAGTATCGTCTTACATGGAGAAGTGCTAATATAAACCGCTTTTGCTTTTGGTTTCACGATATCTCTTTTTAAACTAGCTTAGTTTATTCATCGAAATAAATATATATGAAATTTGCTATCTACGATATTTATCCGGAAATAACTGCTTGCAGTACAGAAGAAAATAGACATAAAATTTGTATGCGTATCGTGTGTTTTAAAATCAAACGTTTGGTGACTGCGTGTTATTTCTACGTGTAAAACAAACTCTACTTCAATAATAAAAATAATTTTACAGGAGCGAATTGAGAATAATAAAAACAATTTTACAGAAGCAAATTGAAGAAAAATATATGATGGAAAATATTAACGCGCGCACCTATCTTCAATTTCATTGTTATTATTTATTGAGAATTATGTCACATAGGATGCATACGCAGACATACAGATTGAAAAAGCAAATAACATGTATCGTAGAAAAAGTCGTCGACAAACTAGCTCGGAATAAAGATAATTAAATTTTTATTTCGTTTCCATGAATTCTATAAAAATGTCACAATACTCAAAAGTTGCACATCCATTTGTGTAATCTGTTTACATGTATGTCTACACAGGCATTTGAATAACGAATCTATACGCGTACAAATTCTGAATTTATTGCATTTTACCATCGTTAACGCAGTTTATTTCGAGAGAGAGCTTATAAAACAAAGTTCTCTCTCATACTAAATCGATGTGAATGATCAAGAGCAAACTCCAAGCTGCTATTTGTTTTTATTTTCCATTGTTGCGAGGTGTATGTTTCACGTAGGTATCAATTGCGCATTCCAAAACTTAAAAACACCTCGTGAAATGACATTTGGAAAATTGCATCGAGAAACGCGAGATAACTCCCGGAACAAAATCCTCGAAATACACGCCACTATGTAATATACAGGATATCTTTTCATCATAAACAGAGTACATTACAAACAATACTTGCAAATAATAGTTAAGCACTCGCAATTTGTATTAATCGCTCCATAAAGTTATTTGATTGAAATTATCGTGAGATAATTTAGAAAACCGTTGAAACATCGCCGCATGCGGTAATTTGACTAATAGCTGTTGTACAAAACTCATTAAAATCAGAATGACATACTGCTTTAATCATCATGCCGGCGTTACGTTTGCACAGAAGATGTGGAGTGTGTATAGGTACGTGCTTTGTAACGTATGGTGGACGGTAATCATCAAGAATCCTGTTTAGCCATATGTTGTCCACCAATTTGCGTCACGGCAATTGGCCGCGAAATTTAATCGTGTTATCGAGAGAGATTTTCCCCATTGACAGTTGTGTTGCGTGACGGTTCTCCAATTAAATATCCTGACTGGCAGTAGCGAATTTGCCCAACGGTTGTGGTTTATGCAAATGTAATTTTGGTCGAAAATATTGAAATTTGTTGAAATCGCGCTGTGTAACGTCGTGTAAATATTCTAAATTCTCCAAAAGCTCCAACAACGTTCCATTTAAAACGATATGAATAAATTAAAATACTCAATCATTTTTTTATGTATTTCAATAAACAAAATTTTATATGATTTTCTGAATATATTTTTTATCCCATTTTTAAGAATTCTCAAGTAGAAATAATTACAGAACCTAAACTTGTAGTAGAATTGTCTGTGTAATTTTTTAGATGACCTTAGCAAAAATAGCAAAAGATCGACGTTGTATAACGAGGATGAAAATAGCATTTTAATCCTTAAATATCATATGATGCAAATTAATATTTATATTATAATACTATATGCATAGCGGTATAATAATATACTACCATATCCACTCAGAGAAAAAAGTCGTATCAGTAACTATAAATTTGTAGTGAAATAGCGCCTCAACTATATACATATTATTCACTTAATTTACTTATTGTTCTTATTAAAGCTTTATAATACATAGTTACAAATTTGTGTATGCATTTCTTATTTATTTTTGTCTTCCAAGTTTGAAATCAACGCTGCGCCTTTTATTGTAAGCTGAGTGGTTTCCTTCTTAGGAGAAACTGAACTCCGCTACGTCCCTCTGGTGACAAAGCCGCGTACTACTCGTACTGAGCGACACTTTAAAAATTTTTGTCTAAACTAGAAAAATGTAATTGTTATATCTATTTGCATAAAGTCCAAGTAACTACTCAATGTAGTTGAGTCACTATTTCAGTACCAATTAATAGTGCATACAATTTGTTACCGTGACTATATTTTTATAATATTCAGCACTACTTTAGTTTCTATTACTTTGTAAAACTAGTTACAGGTACTTCAATTGCAAAAGTAAAAATTTATAGTTGCTGGAACTATTTCGTTTTCTCTCAGTGTGCGTACGACATTAAGAACATTTCATATTTCAGAAAGAAAAAGAAAGATTTTAGAGCAAGATCGCCTATAGTTTAATAGAGATATATTAAGGAAAAAATTGCTAGTATGAGCTAACACATGATATTTTTTGTGAAAATAACAATCATATATTATAAATCATAATTAAATCAATAATGAATTACAAACGTTTTAACATCATTATTGTGTCCTCTTCAAGTGTAGAAATAACGAAATTCTAAATTATATAATAAGCGTCACAATCCAATTTTATTAGAGACTTATTTACAATATTTACAATATCGGTTAATCCTTTTGTTATCTCACTTATCTCTAATAGATAACTTGCACAACTAGAATGCTATCTCGCATTCACGTCGTCGTCACGGTGTCCTTAATAATCGTAGGACCGCATTTTCGAAGGCAATCAAAATCGCAATATAGTTGCACGAAAAAGAAATAGTGCTACGCCACTGGACAGAATATTGATCGAGAGGGTGTAGAGAGACCCTTACACAGGGAGCGAATCGCAAGCCAACCCTTAGGTTCTCTCGCACATTCACATTATGCCTCGGATGGCAACGAAATCAGGACCATTACGTTGGAACGTTAATGTTTTTATATTTTTCGTTAAACCGTCGACCTCAACGGTAACTCAGAATACATGTCTAGTTACTGTCTTGTATTGTTTCGTGCAAAGTGTTCGGTAAATCGTAGTATGTAACAAGAAGATGATTCTTCGTGAGAAAAAGCGAGTAAAAAATAGAGAACATTGCTTTCTCGAGTGCGGGAGAGCTTTTGAGAGAAAAGGTTTTGCATGTGAAAGTGGTGTGTGAATGTGCGTCCATTTGACTACAATTTGACATTTGCAAATTGCCTCTCAAATTGTCTAGTAATATTGACGATAATGTATCTGTTGTGATTCCAGTCATCCAATCATCAATATCATTAATTTTCACTGATCTCTCGAAATGGCAAAGTATCATTGGGAATATATGTTAAAGTGGCATTAATAGCTGGTGGTAATGTACAATTTAGAATAATGATATCATAGTGATATCATCCTTCTCGTAAAGTAATAACAAGTTTTCGATATCACAACTTGCGCTTATCTAATCGCGCTGTATTCTCATTAGAGGCTTGAATTTAATTGTTCGTTGTATTTTTAAGAATTGAGAGTCCATATAACTGTTACATTTTAATTTCGAAATAAGTAATTAACTAATCATTATCTGTCAATATGAAATGTCTGTAAGGGTCGATTAATAATAATGTCTAAACGAAAGTTTCGAATCGTCCGTTGTAATTTCTATGTTCACTGTAACATTCCCAACTTCCCTGTGTATAAATCAAGCTTGATCAAGTTGAGATGCTAACTGATCGTTGAAACGGATTCGAAACGTGAATTGATATATGTTCGCCGGCCGAAATTTGTCAGTCTCAACCTTCCAAATCCCTTTCGTCCGGTAATGCCCGATCGGTTTTGCTTTTGAGAATCAAAGTTACAATGCGCCGATGTGTACCACCATCGGGGGCTTCTCTTTCGACAAAGGGGAGACAAAGGGACGCAGAGAGAATGAAAACCGCCACCTTGATGCTCGTGGCGAACCACGATAATTGGATCAACCCACCCCTATGAGTTGCGACTGAAATTAAGTAACCTCCGGCGCATATTCCTGCGTCAGACTGATGATTTCGTCGGGGACAACCTGAAAAGCTCGCCTGACACCACGAAATAATGTTAGCACGCGAAAATAAAGCAGTCGGGAGTATAGAGAGAATATAACAAACGCACTTTGTCCGCATACGAAATCACTGATAAAGCATAGAGCAAATAATTACTTGAATTTAAAAAAATGTTGTTTCCTTTGTTAAATAATGTTGTGTATGTATGTACGTCAAGTACTTTCATCACGAGAATAATAATCAAATTATACAAAAGTCATGTCATTCTACTTTATGCAATTGTTTCAAATAAAACAGTTGCATAAAGTAATTGCATTTTGCAAATGCATCGGTATACTTTGCATAAATCGCAAGAATGCAACCTGAATCGCCGACAGATAAAGCTAAAATGCAGTTTTCTACTATAATTTTCCTCTATTCCCGCTTAAATAAAAGAAAAGGATCATGGTCGTCCCCGTTTACCGAATCACTCAGTATAAATCAACCCTGTCGTATAAACCAGAGCGCGAAAATATTTTTTCCCAGTAGTATAAATATTACATCTCGTTAGGTTGATGTTACGTGCAAGCTCGTTTAAGAAAGGACTTAAGTCGTCAGAAAGGCAAAGCCGTAAAGAAAGCAAGCGGAAAAAGCTTTTTCGGTACGACGAGAACGCTTTGTACGACCGTGGCTTGCGGCACCACAAAGCCACCCGAGGTAATTTGTACAGAGTGCTTAAGTTACACATATTAGTCGCAATGTCGTACTTTCGCAGTAACGATGAATTATACCATGAAAAAAAATTTTGAGATGTCCCAAATCGAGCCATCCCTTATCTACGAATGCTTTGATCAATTCTTTGAAATCAAATTCTTTGAACTCATCTTCTTTGATAAAGACTCGTTGATCTATGAACAATCGAAAAAATTCTTCAATCAAGAAATTTCAGGAATGCACATAAATATAAGATGAAACTTGTGTATTCTTCATTTTTAACGTTCAAATATTCATACGTTATATGATAAGAACTTTTGGTTTTCTCTCTTTTACGATTGTCTTGAATCATACATAAAATAGATAAGCAGTTCGAGCGAGAAACAGATTTATATTTTCCCACCAGAAATAAAATATCTCAAAAAGAACTTAAAAGTGTATATTAAGCAAGTATATTAAGCGAGTAGATCTTACTTTGAATTTCTAATTCGAGGATTAGTTACAGCGATATTTAATGCAGAAAGTTTACAGTATTTGCGGAATAATAATGATAGAGGATATATTATTATATATCGTAACGGTAAAATAAAAAGCTTATATCTTTTCTTCGCACAGAAGTACCATTGGAATAAAATCCTCCGATGCCCGGCAACAACAAAATACCCGAGGTTATTACTCGGTTGCGCGAATAGACAGATCCCCGGGGGTGAAAAGTAGTTTCAAAGTCTAGCCTAACAATGGAGTGCATGAAAGGGAGGAGAAAAACGACGGGTATGAAAAGCATCCCGGAAAATAAAGGGTAGATATGGTGGAAAGAGCACGCGAAAGGCCCGGGAAATTCAATGCCAAGGTTGGCATACGAAGTTAAATCGATATTCAATACTTCACGAACGATAGTGACATTCGTACAGAGAGTTTAATCGTATTTTATAAATGATATATCCGATTTCACGGCTGGCATCTCGGAGATTAAAACCAACTCGCGATCGTAAATTTGCTTCGTTAAAAGCTTTTTTCTTCGTAATTTTTTAAAACCATGAAAAAATTATTTAAAATCCGCACTCTTGTTAAATTTTCGAAGTTGGAAACAATATAAATGATTTGATAAAGTTTTACAGCAATTGAAAAAGAACAATTCGAAATTCATTTTTACATTTTATAAAAATATAGATATTAAAATTTTAGGAGAATGACATGTTGCTATTATTGAGCGAATTTAACTCAATATTTTCTACAATAAAAATGTAATGTGCTTTGAATTGATTGTACATGGAAAAATAAAAAAATTCTAAGATTTAGAAAATCTTTTTCTAATCAATCAGTTTATATAAACCTTTTTTTTTTAATTTTTAAGATATATCAATATCTTATATAAAATATAATTGTAATAATACATATATAAAAATATAATTGTAAAATAAATTGCTCATTTAATACACTATCGCTTGAACTAGCAATTGTGAGAGAACAATAGGTTTTGTCATATATGGTTCTCGTTTTCCATTTCGTTTCGCATAGTAAACATTTCGTTATTTCGTCGGACGTATATTTCCGGATTATACATCCTATATACAAGTGTATATTGCGCTGCTCGCGAGTATTTTGTGGCTTCGATTGATCTATCAGACTGGACGAAAGAAATCAATCGTGTGCATTGTTCCGTGAATGATAGGCTCTATTTGATACCGTGAATGAGAACGATAAACTCTCTGCTACGAGCATCGTGTTTTCCAGACCTCTTCTCTTCTGTAAATTTAACAGATATTCAGTGAAGCGAAACCTTGGATTAAACTATCAATTAATTAAATGTTTAACAACTTGATCGAATGGAAAAATATTTAATGACTCATTTAATTTGATAGTTAATCATCATGGACTCTCTCTCTCTTATTTATGTTAATACCAAAATTATCGCGAGTTTAATAATAAGCATTATAAATATCATTATATACTCATAATATAATTAGTTATATGACTTAAACATTAATATAATAGTAAAATTTTCTCATTCGTTTTCAATTTGAAAATTTATATTTAGCGAAATTACATAAACATATGTATATAATATATGTATCAATTAGATAAAAACATTTCCTAAAACATTTCGTTTTTAAACTTTACAGAACAATATGTTTATTATTTCATCTTAAACAAACATTTGCTACAATTTCACGCTTAAGCTTAAAAAAATATTTTTAAAAGACACTTTTTCATATTTCTTCCCTTAAAAAAAAAAATATCCTAAGCATTCTTTTTATATTCCCTCCTTTTGCAATCTGGATCTTTTTTGGCGCAAGTGAAATTATATTTTCAAATTTCTTCCTTATATTTGCTCAAATTTCAATTTTTATTAAATAAAGATTTTAACATTTAAATTAAAAAACTATTTGGTAATTTAATAGAAATGTTAAAAAGGAATTCTGAATTTTTCTACATTTTTTTGACAGCTTAGAATGGTATAAAAAACAGATTGTTGATAAAGAAAATAAAAATATGATTGCAGACGGAAGATTTGCCTATTTTTTTATTAAACAATATATCGTTTGAAAAGATTGATTATACACGTTGCATGTTCGCGATTGTGAATAGGAAATACGAAAGATCGTTGCTTCTCGATTCCGAAAGTAACGATCAAATACGGATTTTCCGCCGGAGGCGCGGGCACGTTCTTTAAATCCTGCCTAAAGCGAGCTATTCGGCGTATACAGTGTACTCCTCATGCAAAATGTAGCCGAGGTTCGAGACAACAGCGGACAGAACGGAATGGTACGCGAACTTTCCCGATAGCGGGATAGAATTCGCAGATTGCATGCTAAAACTTTCAAGCGAGACGAAACGAGGAGCGTGTTTTGGGGAGAAAAAAATAATCAGGTATGAGAGAGAGAGGATACAATAATAAAATCGTATTCATGCCGATCGCGTCTATTGTATATAGAACGATACTCTTTTATCGATGGTACAAATGGAGAGGAAAAGGCCCTACATGAAAAAAACGAAGAATATAAAATAAAATCTCTCACAAAGTTTCATTTTTAAAGTTGGAAAATTAATATGCTATGCTTAGAAAGCTTGAATAATTTTTAATTACTTAAGCATCTTTACAATTGTATTTATCATGTCCAGAAAGGAAGAGAGGAAAGGGTTGGAGGTTAATTACTTTTATGATTAAAACTTAAAAGTTATGATTAACAAAACCTGATATTTTTCCCATTTAAAATCAGGAATAAGAAAGAGACATTTAAGCTCTAAAATATCCAAAACAAGCAATTCATTTGTATACAAAAGTTGTTATTTATATGATAATAAAATTTATAAACCCTCTTCGGAAAAAATCCTGGATAAATCTATGGTACTTATCACATTTTTTGTTCATTATTTTAATACATAATAATATGATTAAAATTCAACAACACGACGAAATTCACATATAGTTAATAAATGAGAATTGATTAGTCGATAAATTTTTACGGTCTCAATAAAAAAAATCTAGTTTCAGAAATAAGAGATTAAACCGCGATGGTCCGTCTGCCGGAATTGCGACCTTCTCCCTGCAGCATTCAATGCGGAATACACTCTCTTCCCCCCTTCTCTTGTAGTCGACTGTACTTTTGCTAGTAGCAAGGGAAAAGGCACGTTAGCACGTGACTGGAATTCGTTTTAAATTCTCCGCAACCACGCATATAGAGTTTCCGTTTTAGACGGTCGCATTACACGACATAAAGTGGAATCCATTTCTCTCAGATAAACTACGAAAAGTGTTATGAGAGATACAAGAAGAATAAATACAATATATGTATATATACATATATATAAAAAAACTACGATCATTCAAATAAAAAAATAACATTATATAATCATTGGTCATGAAATATGCGTTAAGATATAAGAAAATTAAGACATTATTTAAATAAAATATTATATATTTATTACTGTTGGTTACTGTGGCACATTATATGTTTACCAGGAAAAATAAAACAGAATATTTAACTAAATCTCACAAATGTTATATAAAAAAATATCTTTATCAACGCAAGAACAGTATTCTTTCCTTTACTTCCAATAAATAACATAAATATCACAAGATTAACGACACTGAGATATTACACGACTTACTTCCGTCGACAGATAACGTGATATTTATCAAATAAATGTGGATTTTATAAATTTTTTGTTTCAGTTTCAAAATTAAGTTATACAGAATTAAGTTGTAATATAAACATAAATAGTATTATAGACATAATATAAATATAATTTTAAAAAATATCCTTAAATACCAACACTAGTTTTTAATCGTAATATGTAATGCCAAAAAGAGAAATCAATGTGATTATTACGTGTAGCATTAATTCATTAGCTCAAGACTAATCCTTTGACGTGCCGATTCGATACCAACTACCTTCACTTCCACACGTTGGCCTATATGCAGATCCTTCTTCATACGGCTGACGTGTACAAGACCCTCCTTACCAACACCCACGTCTACAAATGCTCCAAAATGCGTAACGTTCCGCACGACGCCGCTTAATATGGTACCGACGATCAAATCTTCAATACGTCTCACGCTGTTGCGAAACAGCGGCTGATTCAATTTCGATCGTATATCCTCGTCTTTCTGCATGGTCAGAGCTTTAACTATTGTCTCCATTGTAGTCTCGTCGGTGCCGAACTGCGCGGCTAGATTTCCATATCCAGTTCTCGCGTAAAAATTTATCTTTTCAATAAATGCCGGAGTGCCGATATCGTCCAATTTGCATTGACAGTGTTGTACGAATTTATTCGCTATCGCGTACGATTCCGGATGGATCCAAGTCTGATCTAAGGGATTAAAATCGTTCTCCGATTTCTTGCTCCGTTCTGACGAAGTTTCGCTAGTCGTTGCTGTCTCTGGCAGAATTCTTATGAACCCTGCGCATTGTTCGAACGTTTTGCTACCAATACTCTTTACTTTCAATAATTGCTCTCTATTTCTAAACGGTCCATTTTTGGATCGCCACTCTATGATGCTTTTAGATCTAGAAACCGTAAAGCCGGCTACTTGTTGTAAAAGATAATGGGAAGCTGTATTGATATCCACTCCGACAAAACTCACAACCTCTATAACAACCTGTAACAATTGATACAAAAATCTGCTACAAAAATCGAATCTTCCCCAAAAAAATTATCGCGTTATTATTCAAATGTTTGATTTAATCTTTTTTTAATAAAAATAAAATGGAGTTTAATTTATTGCTGTTCTATTTAGATTTCTAAAATTATCCTTGATAATGTACAATTTTCTTATTTTTTAAAAGAAACATTAGCTTTGAGAAAGAAGTTAGTAATAAAATATTATGTAATTACTTTTGTTACACATCTATTTCACAGCTCATTATATAGTATAACGAAAGATTCATTGAAAGTTCTCAAATTATCTATATTCTCAAGTTCTTTATCAGTTAATATTAAACAGTGAATTCATACTAACTTCGGATAGCGTCTTCGTCAATTTCGTCTGAGGTAGGTCATGTTGATACATCCCAACTCCTAAATGCTTCGGCTCTATTTTAACTAATTCCGCCAACGGGTCCTGCAAGCGTCTTGCTATCGAAATAGCCGACACTAGATTCGGATCCAGATCCGGAAACTCGGATTTCGCCTGCGGGCTACAACTATAAATCGAGGCTCCGCACTCGTCAACAATGGTGTACATCGCGTTCAGCGAGCCAAACATGTTCGATTCGATTGCTTTAGTCAGAAACAGCTCGGTCTCTCTGCACGCTGTAGCGTTTCCCAGAGCTATTATCGTGCATCTGTACTTGTTCACCAATTTCGCCAACGTGTTAGCCGCGTCTTTAAACGCTGACGAATGGTTGTGAGGGTATATCACAGCGGTCTCGAGGAGATCGCCTTGTTCCGATACAACGGCAAGCTTACATCCGTGACGGTAACCCGGGTCTATGCCGAGAACAATTTTACCTCGCACTGGAGGAGTGAGCAACAGTTGCTTAACATTAGTCGCAAAAACTTCTATGGACGCTTTTTCCGCGTTTTCCTTCATCTCGCTCTTTATGCGACGTACCATCTGAGGCTTGATCGATTTTTTATAAGCGTGATCAATGCCATCATTGAGTAAATTCAAATGGATCATTTTCACGCTATTTCTTCCCTCTTGTGTATATCGCGATAAACAATAGTTCTTGAACGCATGCTCGAAAGCGTCGGGAACGACAATCTTCACGCTGATGATCTTTTGAGATTCGGCCCGATTAATAGCCAGTATATGATGGGGCTTGATGGCATTCACGCTCGACTTAAAATTGAAGTACTGTTCATACTTCTGCTCGTTTGCGTTTTTCGAATCTTTTGCTGGTTTACATCGCGTCGTTTGTATGTCTATAACCAAGGTTTTCCGCAGGGAGGTGACTTTGTCGAAAATGTTCTTATCTTTACTGATGACGTCCGCTATTACATGCACGATACCGCTTTTGACTTCCTGTTCGTTTCGCAAACCTTCCTTCTGTTCATCTATTAAAGATGTCAACGGTGGTACATCCCTTCCCTGTAAAACTGCATCGCTGATACTTCCTAGGCCCAATCCTCGTGCTTTATCTGCCAGAAGTCGTCTCGATGCCGAAGGTTTGTATAGAGAATAAATATCTTCGAGATCGGCAAGGGACTTTGTAGATGAGATAGCGGAGTGAAGCTCCGGCGACCATTTGCCCAATCTATCAATATTCTTAATAATGGTTGCAGCACGAAGTTTAATAATCTTTGCCTGCTCAAAACTCTCTAGAAGTTCCCTCAACTTATCCGCATCCATAGATCCAGTCATGTTCTTTCTATATCTTGCGATAAAAGGTATAGTGTTGTCTTCCTTGAAAAGTTTCACTACATTCTGTGCGATACGTCTATCTACATTGTTAACTTCGCTTATGTAATCAATATTTGTCCATTCCGTGCATTGGGAAAAGCTGAAGTTGAATTTTTCATTGAGTTTTACATAAGTATCTTCCTTTACATCTTCCTTTACATAAGTGCTGACTGAATTTTTTTTAATTTCTTGAGATACTCCTGCATCTATAGAATCAGTGTACGAATCTTCTAGCTTCGGTCTCTTGTTGCTAGAAGTCTCCAAGTTTTCTTCTTGATTTTTTCTTTTAATAGATTTAACATCTTTGCTCTGCGTATTTCTCTTCACTCTTTTCTTAATTGGCTGTCTCTTACCTATAATTTCCTTTTTCCTTTTATTTTGCTCTACATAATCCTCATCTTCGGATTTTTTAAATGTTTTATAATCATTATCATCGGAATCTGACAGTTCAATTACTGGTACATTATGATTACTTCGTAAAATTCTTTTCATTTTTTTCGGCGTTTTCTTATCTGTTAAATTAATAAAACAGTTTCCTCACAAATCCATATACAAATAAGGCAGATATAAGTATCACGTTTACTCTTTTTATAATTGCAACACTATGCTTTGTGATAAATATATGGCTGTATTTCAATTATACTATTAAGATTTCTAATCAATATAAATATATAAATACTCGAATACATCCACAATTCTTTTAAAGCTTTATTTTTAAAGTTCAAGCCGTAAAGAATTTATTCTGGTATGTCTTAGCACAAGATTTTCTAGTAGAGCAATGGTTTTATAGGAACGAACATCTTCCATGTTACAAAAACGTTTGATTAATTCAATAACATTAATTATTATTTAGTGTGACTATTACTATATTACCTAAATAATTTCAATTAAATTCGACGTAAACTCTCCGCACCGATTTTCGACGTGAACCAACAACAGAGTGCGAATGACAATTCTAAAATTCTAACCTATATTGCAACGTGGAGAAAATTGTAAACACCGATAAAATTTCATTTCTAAGATGCTCCTGCCATCTTAACCACATTAGCTGTAACTCGTTGTCGAATAATCGACGCAACGTAAGCAAGAAATGAGAAAGTATATAATTAGGCAGCAAAAAGAATATATAATAAAATAATATAAGTAACATCCCTTCCTCTCCGATTTTCCGATAATTTTGTAAGTTTTCCATACACACAGAACACATTCCGAGAAGGAAAATCATCACTTAAGTTCTATTTTCTTTTTCTTTATTTCAAAGTTTTTTTGGTGTTTACTAAAAAGATAAAAAAGCAATACATTGTAAATAACAAACTATTTTCCGCTAAAATTTAAATTATATACAAAAATAATTTGTAGTTTTAATTATAATTAAAACAGATAATTATTACTAAATTATAAAATGTTAAGATTATAATTACAAAATTGGATTAAATATAAAATTGCTAGCATTTTTCCCCTCCGGCCACTCCCTCCCCCCTCTTTCTCTCTCTCGATTATTCGCGTACAATTTCTTTTAACAAGCAAAAATTAATATTGACGCACCTTTGACGATGATATGTCAATGTCACTTTCGCAACAACAGGAAAGATGCCGACTATCAGCCACACAGAGACGGATCGCCAAATGTTGATGTAAAATGAATAAACGCGTGCGACATTTATGTCACTAAACTCTAAACTCCGGCGGGACACTCGCGACAATGCTTTGCGTACGAAATTCAATTTCGGTAATGATAATCGGAAAGAGAAACGCGGAGCGTTTTGAATCGCTCTCGGTATTGCGATTATCGAAACGACCGCGATTCAAACTAGGCTGCGTTCGGAAACATCACCCGAGTGCCCCCGCGCGTCGTTTCATCCTTGTTATTCACTCAATGTTAAATAAGGACAAAACGATACACGGGGCACCCGGGTGATGTTTCCGAACGCAGTCCTAGAGTTGCGCAATGAATCAATCGTATCGATTCTTTCATGTAGAAATGAATTTAAAACATTAAAAATATTCAAAATGATTAAAACTTAAGTAGAAATAAATTGCAGTAATTTGCGATTTTCGTTATTATTCCTATGTTCATTTTCTTATTGTGTTATGTTAGGTTAGGTCGGATTAGCTTGCCACGTTTAAACGTCAAAACGTGACAACGTGAATTGGAGGTTAGGTTAAATTAGATCGAATTACAGTTCAAGATTAAGAATGAGCTAGTCTCCGTATTTCAATTCTGTTGTCGTCTGTCAGCGTTTAATAATCCAGTTAATTTAGTCCACTTTTGCATCGTTTCATCCACTTGACATAATGATAGAGCGCTACCGGCAGTTGACGAGGCTAGTAAGCGAACAAGTGAAGAGGTACGGTGTGCTTCACAATGCAAAAGGGGTTGTAGAAAATGCCGCGGAAAAGGCGCAGAGTAAACTCGCCAGTGCGCAGAGTATCGCGACCGAAAAATATAACATCGTTGCGAAAGTAAGCAATATTAAATATATATCAAAACATTTTTATTTCGTGTAATTGTCGACAAAAACACTGATTTCTAATCAACTTCCTGAGATCGACTTTCGTTTTTGTTTAGAGACACACAAGTGTATTAATATAAAATATTTCAAATGTTACACAGTGCCTTATGTGTATTAATTATAATAAATAATAAATACATTAAATTATGTACAATATTTATATAAAATTATTTTACGATATTTATCAGCAGGTTATTTAAAATGACTCAGAATTTTAGATTGAACATAATATTACTCAGTATTCCAAATTTTATAAAGCAACTTTTGTTTCATAATTTCTTTACTGTTCTCGTTCCAGCAACAGTATCATAAACAAAATTATATTCAGTATCAATTTAAAACTTTATCTAAAACTTTTACTTTCATTTAGTAATTGCTTGAAATAAGTCAAGATTATATTTTGATTTTAAAGAATCAATTTTTAGTTTATCCAACAATCTGAAGATTTTTTGCAAAAAAAAGAAACGATGCTTTATAGTTGGAGAAATATAGTATGCAAGACAACTATTACATGTAAAATTAATTTTTATGTTGTAGAAACTTAACGATCAGTCTATCATAATACAAGATTTAAATGCTAAGGCATTAGAAACAAATGTACCATTGCCAGGAAAAATTGTTAAAGTGTGGCAATGGTACAACCAGTTAATAGGAATGGACACAGTTGAAGCAGCCAGAAGGCAAGTGGTTACCCTTCAGGATAAACTATTCCAGTGTCATGACAACAGGAGAATTTTGAATAAAGAGTTAACAGATCTTACTCATAACCTGCAAGAAATCTATGCAGAATTAGTTCAAACAAAACGAGATGATCCCAAGTATGTACAATTAACAATAGTGGAACACAAGTCATTACAGGAACATAAAAAACTCGTTAATCAGCTGGCATCATCCGAGAAAGAAGAGAGGGATAATTTCATGCAGTTGGCAACTGCGATAAAAGACTATCATATTAGCCAAAACTTAAATGCACAGAAATATAAGTATTTATCTATTATCGCTTCTGCCATATTAGCAATTGTATCATTAATCGGTTCAATGATACTTAATAACAAAAGGATACTAGACGTACGGAACACGATAAAGATAGCACAAGAAAAGAATGAATCATTATTTCAAAAGAATACGAACGAACTATCCGATATTAAGAAAATATTGCAGTCATTTGATACCAAATTGGTAACATCGAAAAAACAAGAAAGCGCAATAGATTTAACTAAAGAAATTAGTAAATCTAATATTCTTGTATCTTCTGTCAAGTATTCAGCAAATTTGTTGATTTCAGGATTAAGTTATGTCAAGAAAGGTATTTATGCATGTGGGTCATATATTTTTTACAAATAACACAGTGTATATACATCATAAAAAAATTACATTGTTCAAATACACAAACCAAATGTATGCAAGTCTTACATCTTTTTATATATCTAAAATTCAGTAAAATTCTTATTAAATTTTTTATAATCAATAACATATTAAAATTTGAGAATGTTATAAAAAAGCTATTGGTGAAAATATGAAGAGTAAAATACAGCTTTTTTTCATAGGATAGTAAAATTATGCTTGCTGTACACTTGCCAGATAAAATGCTCCCTATTTTTTTTGTAACTTATGTACATAAACATATTGTAAGCATTTATTTTCACTGGGGTACCATATGTATTATAATTATACAATTATAACTATAAAATTATAAATCTAGTTAAATCGAAATGTTATATGAAGATTGTAATATAAACAAATGTTAATAATTTTAATACATATTTATACGTCATTATAATACAAAACATATTTTTAAATAGCGCAAATTATTAAGTTATTATTTATGAAAAGATGATATTTACTCTCAAGTAAATGTCAATATATGTATACCTTCTTATTTTAAAGTATATGTGATATAGTGGTAATTGAGGATTAAACGTGATCAATGCATGCAAGAAATGATGAAAATCCAGTTTGCAAAAAATCATAATTATGAGTCCCAAGTTTTCCATTCCATTCCGTCTGGTGGTTTTCTCTCGACTGTTTTATTTCCTACTTCGTCCCAGTTAGTGCTTAAAACGGTGCCGCCAGATTCTATCTGTATATTAAAAAAATGAAATAATTTTTACAAATGCATTATATTGACCAGTTATTAATATTCAATATGTTTCATATGTATACATTTGTATAAGTTAATTTCTAATCGGTTGTTATTTTTAAGAAAGAAATTCAGAATCTCATAGCAAATAGCTTTTAACACATTATTTTTTACTTACAAATATACAAATATCTTAATAAAAATTTTTTCTGTTCCATATTAAATAAAAAAAACAAACTATTTCATAAAGTAATTTTTTGTTACCACTTAATTTGTTAACAATGAACATTTTACTTACAAAGGACTTGTTCATCGCGCGTCTTACTTCGTCGGATCCATTACCATATATCTTTTGGAAGAGAGCATTCACTGCAGTATCACCCTGAGTTTCTTCTGCTGCCTCTTGTCTCTCTATTTCTTTTTCAACCTTATCCCAATCTTTAGATTTTTTACAGGAGCTTGGATACTTAGGTGCTTCTTTGGGTACTGCTTGAAGTATTTCTTAAATAGTACACATGAAAGTTTTAGAAAAATATAATCTGCATATATATCTATATTAAATTTTTCGATATTGCTAAAGAAATATGCAAATAACTAAGATTGCTTTCCTTTTAGGAAGTACAGACAATATAAACATCATTCTAGTCTTCTTGATATTCAATGAATAACAAAGATAGAACAACTTTTATGTCAACTATGTCTCCTAAAAGAAAAGCAGTTTAAATAATGTAAAACAGAAGTATATGGGTCAAGCAGACTCGTAAGATTCGTAACGTGTTCTCGTAAAATTTGTATATATAAGAACTTGTGACTAGTATTCTAATTTTATGCGTATGTATTATAAGACGTATGATTATTCATAAATATCTACGATTTCTTGTGAATTTTATGGCTAGTAAGAAGCTGTCTGCAAAAATATTGTATAAAGGTATAAGCACTTAAAAATTCTTACAAGTCTTACAGGAATATGTTAAGAGCCTTACGATTCTGCTTAGAATTTAGGCATTAACCTTTTCGTTATGGGCTATCTCTGCCGTGAAATGCATTATGATACGATTGTACAAGTTGCGTGCGTACTTCAAAGTGATTACACTTAAATCGTATGTGAATTTAATAATTGTTTATGATGAGAAAAGAGCCTTAAATCTGAAGTAAACAAGTCTTTTCAAATACTTCAATGCTGGTAAAATATATATTTTATTTGTATTACTTAAAAACGTGAGCATCAAATTACTAGTTGCTCGTAGTAGTGAAAGGGTTAAAGTCTTATGCCATAAAAAATTAGAAACGTTAAAATTAGAACGTTACATATTTTTAATAAGAATAAGTAAATTAGTAAATTAATAAATTATT